AACGACGTCATTTCACTCATTCAAAGTGATCAACAATAAACGACGTCATTTTTCTTGTTGGATTTCTCTGTAAATTATAAAAAAATTTATTTTTTCTTTTCACCGTGGTGAACTCTATAATTTGAATTTAAAATTTTTACTCAAAATGCCTCTTATCTTTTTTTCTTGAACCAAAATTCGGTTTGGCATGTTTGCAATAAAAAATTATGATTGAGAATAATTATAATTAAACGTATTTAATTGTTATAACAGACTATTTTTGTAATTTTCTTTTTTTATTTATAAAATACCAATTATTAAAAATTCATTGTTATAATATATATATATATATATATATATTAGGCACATAAAAAAGTGAATTAGAAAGAATAATGGGATAAGGACGACCCAATCAACACCGGATATTCAACTTTTAGGTATTTAATACTGAAAGAATTTTAAAAAGTTAAAATTTGTATTAAATGTTAATTTTTCAAATTGTAAAATCTTATCTCGAAATATTATGTACAAAATCATAAAAATAATAGTGCTTTTGCTTCACATCATTGCTACAATTTTTCATATATTATAATCTATTTTTATGAACATTATCTTTCATTGCTCAAACTCGATTTATGATTAAAAATTCAAATTAGATCGTTTTCAAGTAAAAATATGCTAACTCTTTTGGTTTGAATAATATAGAATTGAAAAGAAACCAATGGCCAAAAAAAATTCGATTTCTTTCATAGACGAACAAACTTTTTAACAAACCATTTTTTTTTATGACAAAACAACACTTCGTCAACGCCCCTCACTTAGTCCCCAAATTTCTCTCTGGAGAAGGAATAGATCCTCAAAACAAGACTTCAAGGAGAGTGGGGAAATATCAATCATACACATAGCTCTAATCATTAGAGCTAAAGACCTTCCCTGCGGAAGGCAAAGACACCGAGCTACTCATGCAACCATAGGCTCCTAAGGTTTAAAAACTATAACAAAACCGTCTCCTCTTACCTCTAAAAGAGAAATGCATATAAAAGGATTTTCATGATAAGAGAGAGAAA